TTTTTTTTTTTTGGTTGTAGCTGGCATTGTTGTTTGGCAGGCCTGGGCTGGATTCGAACCCGCCACCTTAGGTGTATGTAGCTGGCACCTTAGCCACTTGAGCCACAGGTGCCAAGGCACACTTTGTCACTCTTGGTAGAGTGCTATGGCATCATAGCTCACAGCAACCTCCAACTCTTGGGTTCAAGCGGTTCTCTTGCCTCAGCCTCCCAAACACCTGGGACTACAGGTGCCCACCCCAATGCCCAGCTATTTTTAGAAATGGGATCTTGCACTTGCTTGGGCTGGTGTCAAACCTGTGAACTTAGGCAATCCATCCACCTAGCACCCAGAGTGCTAGGATTATAGGTGTGAGCCACCATGCCCCAACTCATTTGCCTGTTTTTTCAATTGCTTTTTTTTTCAATTGAGTTGTTTGAGTTCCTTTTTAGTCTGTATATTAATTCCTTGTCTGATGAGTAATATGCAAATATTTTCTCCTATTCTGAAGGTTGTCTTTTCATTTCGTTATTCCTTTGCTTTGCAGAAGCGTTTGAATATGATATAATCCCACTTGTTTATTTTTGGCTTTGTTGCCTATGCTTTTGAGATTTTATTCACAACATCTTTTCCCAAACCAGTGTCCTGAAGCGCTTCCCCTGTGTTTTCTTCTGTTAGTATTGTTGTCTCAGGTCTTACATTTAGGTCTTTGTTCATTTTGAGCTGATTTTTTTATAGGGTGAGAGGTGAGAGTGTAGTTTCTTTTTTCTACATACAGATATCTAGTTTTGCTAGCACAATTTATTAAACAGAGTGTCCTTTCCCCACTGTGTATGTTCTTTTATCTTTGTCAAAAATAAGTTGGCTATAGATAAGTGAATTAATTTCTGGTTTCTGTATTCTGTTCCATTGGACTTTCTGCCTGTTTTTATGCCATTACTATGCTGTTTTTGTGCCTACAGCTTTGTAATACATGTTGAGGTCTGGTAAGGTAATACCTCCAACTTTGTTCTTTTTATTCAGAATTTCTTTGGCTATTGGGGGTCTTTTGTGGTTCCATACAAATTTTAGGATTTCCCCCCCTATTTCGGTGAAGAATGTCACAGTATTTTGATAAAGAATTGCATTGAATCTGTAGATTGCTTTTAGCCGTGTTGTCATTTTAACAGTATTAATGTTAAAACAGTATCCACGAACATTGGATATTTTTACATA